TAAGTAGAAATAATGTAACATAATAATATAGGTAACTACCACTTTTTTATTTTTATTTTCCCATACTAAAAATTCTCAATTGAAAATTTTACATTCGTGACTCGTAACGACTTAAACTAAAATGTTTTCATCTCATAACCTTTTTTATTACTCTGTCGACTATCATTTCGGTAGTCTAAATGGAAACTAAATAGTAAATGTTCGTCTTAAGCTATTATGAAATTATATCTTTCATTGTTTTTTACTTATCCTCCAACATTACGATATTTTACGATATAATTTATAAAGAACAAAATATAATAGTTATAACTTATAGATAATAAGTTGTCTTTAATTTTAAATAAACAATAGCTTATAGGTACCTATATGTTTTAAGTTTAATTAATGTTTAGGGAACTGCCCTAGTAAAAAATTGTCAGGAAACGGCATTCATCTGAAAATTATTAAAACCCATTAGAACCCATTTAAACACATTAAACCCAACCGAGTAGGGTTTTTAAACCCTGAATTGGTGAGTTGAATCCTGATCGCGTTTATTTCGATTACCTATGCGGCTATACTGGTAGCTATAAGTTTTTATTTATTGTGAGTGCCTAAGTTCGTTTTTTTGTTTTTATAATATAGGTGTAGTTAGTTAAGTTAAGATAAAAAAGTGCTAAGAATTTCAAAAGTTAAACATTAAACCTCGCTTTAAACCATCGTTTCATTCTTACAAGCCTTTCAAAAATGTTTATTTTTTGATAGTTTTTAGGGCGTTTAATTTCGGGCCTTACTGATAACATATTTTTGAGCCACACCGAACGTAATTTAAATAATAATAAGACGTTTAAAAGCAAATCTAAAATACCTATCATAAATCATTATTCATTACAAAATTTCGTATTAAATATTGAATGATTATATATATATGTTTATGTTCTTAAGTTAATACCTATTTGAAATGTTTCCAATTGTTAGGTTATAACATCTATAAAATTTTTTACTCATAATTTGGGGAAGTTATAAGTACCCACAGTACACTTATTTAAGCTTTCGGTACTACAAATAATACATAATTTTTGGTGAGATAGACATAAGTAAGTTGGTTTTATAAAAGCTATAAAAATATCAAAAGAACCCTCAGTAACACACTATTTATTGCAATCAGGGGCATCCCTGTTGGGGGACAAGGAGAGTCCCCCCCATAAGTCGTGAGATGTTTTGTTTTTTCTAATAGATAAATAAATTTTATAAATTTTGTTAATTGTTTCTACACTGATTATACAAACCGTTGATACAAACATCAAACATATAGATTATACTATAAGCATATAGGTTTTAAGTTTTTGTTTAGCAAAGCGATTCAAGATTAACATTTTTTTACCTCCCTTCCCTCCCACAATGGAATTCACTTGAAGGAGTCCCTGATTGCAATATAAAATATAAACATAAAATAATCGGATTTAGGACAAATATTATTAAAAGTTATTATGCAAGAGTACTTAAAAATTAATTTGAAAAGTTTAGGTAATTTTATTAGTAACATATAATATAAGTAAACTTATTATTGCGATCAGAGCCCTGATATTGATACCTAAGAAACCTATAAAAATGTCATAAGAAAGATACAATTGTGGTATAAAAAAAACACAAAAAATTCCCTAAACATATATGAATGATTTAATGACCTAAATATTTATAAACGCTTATAAAACTATTAAAGTTAATACAATTTTAAAAATAATATAAGTAAAATATTAACTTTCAATTCAAATATTATCGGAACTCAAATAAAAAAAAATGTTAGAAAAAATATCTGGTGTGTAAGTATTTCTGATTTCATTACCTAAGTTCATAGGGTAATAAGTCATACATTTTAAAGTAGGTATATATCACAGCCAGTTGAACCGGGTGTTCTGATTTCACCACAGAATATTATTATAATACAGTCGAATCCGTTTAATTGGGACACATCGGGCGGTGACCTATTTGCCCCCATTATCCCGACTGTCCCGATTAACCGAAGAATGCTGCAGCCCCCCCCCCCCCCTTGAAATGTTAAGAAAATTAAAAAATTATTTTTATGGTCTATGATAGTCAATCGAAAAGTTCAGTAAAAGTTGTCCCCCCCCCCAAAAAAAAAAATCTGGCTACGCCACTGCTGTGGGTTTAAAAAATAATTTTAATAACTAATTTATTTTATAAATTGTAAGTTATTTTTATTGTGCTATTACTAGGTATATGAAAGAAAATTGTTTATTGTCTAGGAGCAATTGGATGTAAAAAGTGTTCAATCAGAAATGTGGGTTGTGAAAAACTACATACATTTATCAACTGGTAAAAGCAGTATTAGTTTAGAAGATTTGACTTCAGTACTTTCTAAAGATATATAAGCTTATGCAAGTTGCACTCAATCTCCCCATTAGTTTGTCTACATATGAACGTAGTTTTTCAGCAATGAGAAGAATAAAATCATGGTGGAGGTCATCTATGTTGCAAAATAGATTCAAAAATTTAGCTATCATTAGTATGGACAATGATATTTGAGGCTTTTCTCTTAATAAAAAAAAAAAAAAAAAAAAAAAAAACAATTGATAGAGAAGTCATACTGAATTCATTTGCAAAAAAATAATAGATATATTGTTTTAAAATAAATAGTTTAATATAACAACTAGATAACAAGTTTGTTACCTACTGTAAATTAATATTTAATATTTAATAATTTTGTTTTTCTTTATAATTTGCATAGCCAATAGTATATATTTTAAAATAAATCATGCTTAGTTTTGCATGATGTTTAGAGTAATATTATATTTGGAAATGCAGAGAGCGGCTTTGATATGCAATAAAGTATTTTTAAATATTAGCCCCCTCTAAATCTATGGGAAATTTCCGCCTATGGCGTAGGTGTACTTACCTTATACTTGAGTCGTATCGATTCCCTCCGCCGAATTCTGCTATGAAATTCACTAACACTATGTAAAAACGCGTTTTCTTTGTCATTTATCATACTACCGGGCAATTGACATTTCGTTGACAAAGATTTTCTCGAGTTTTTAGTCGTTGGAGCCATGATGATTTATTACTTTACGTCAGCACACGATTTTGAAATAAACGAGAGTTACGACTTAGGACTTGCCTACTGTTATTAGAAATAACTACTGATTATTATCAAACAAAACACCAAGTTAATGACAATATACGACGAGAACATACAAAAAAATAAAACACTACAAAATATACTACACCAAAATTATGTAAAAATTAATAATTATATATCCGTTAGTAACATAACTTACATAATAATTAATAATTAATATTATGAATAATTTATATTTATTATTTATTACAATATTTTATGTTTTTATCACATACGTTTTATCGCATCCTGCGATAGATCATAAAAAAGAAAACAATGGTAGCTATTATGGTAACGGATTTTTTTTGAAATTTTCAAATGTTTTAAATCCGTGATAACGCCAATCATAATTCAAAGCAGTCGTGTTTGTTACAGTGTCGCCACCACGATTTAGATATGTTATCTATAATTATGTAGGGCCAAAAGCCGTTCTCTTACAAATGATAAGGGGAAAAAAAAAATAATAATCTCATACCAACATTACCAACCGATAAAAATGTCAATGTTCAAAATAATAATTTAATATCAGTTTTAGGGCCAGCCTGTAGTAAATGTACTTTTTTATTAATGTATTAACTTAGATCATATACTAGAATACTAGTATATGATCTAAGTGTATTAATGTATCAATTGTATCATCTTTATTATCTATGGTATTAATGTACTTTTCTCTAACACCTCTTGATTAATCTAATGAGTAATTAGGATTAATTAATTAAAATTAAAATTCAACCGCCAAATTACAAAAAAATGGCGAAACAGAAATCCAATACTTATATCTATAATAATGACTAACGACCACGATTAAAGTTATCTTTAATCGTGCTAATAACTAATGAGATATTATTATAATTATTTGGGACTTGGGTTTATTTTTGAACTTATAAATAAACTATAGAGTATTTTTAAACGCATAAACAAGATTATTCCAATACAACAATAATAACTGAACATTGCATGAATGATGAATGTTTTGTGGCATTTCATACCAATTATGACACTAATTAACAGTTATAACATTTAAATAATATTATGTCTTGCATTAAATAATATCTTTATAGAAAAATTATACAATATTGCAATTATTGCATTATTGTTACTTACTGCTTAGTAGTTAGTACTTTGTAATATTTTTATATGATCGAAACTTTAACAATAATAGAATTTATGATAATGTTGGTAATGTCTTTATGGTACATAATGGTACAGGGAATTTATGTTTTAGTATTGGTAAACATGATCCGATAAATTTTTTCTTTTTTTTTCCGAGTTCTTATCAGCTGTAAGAGAACGGCTACACACTCAATTATGTACCCATTGAATGCATAAAATAATCTTAAAAGTTAAAACCTTTCATTGAAATTGAATGTAGATCTCAATGATCTCATCACAATAATTCACATTATTATATTTCGCCGGTAGCTTAGATATATCATAGCATTTTACTGTTTTAGATATTTACTATTTAGTTTTTGTCATTAGTCATTCCCATCATTTGGTTTGTTGGTGCAATTAGTTGTTTTTGCCTGTTGTCTGTATAAATTTAAATTAAAAAATATTTGACATTAATTGTGTTAATTCCCATTGACTCAACATCGTGTTTACGTGTATTCGTGTTTCATACTTTCATCTGTAAATATTTAAAATGTAAATACTGAACAGTGAAATTAACTTTTATTTAATTATTTCCCTCATTTTGTTTGGTTTCCACAGTTGAAGTTTGAAGTCACAACCCTAAAAAGTAAAAAGTGACTCTGACCAAACTATATTTTCAAAATTATAAATTGCACGATTATCTTTCTGAGCTTTACCTAATTCGTACCCAATTTATGAATATCTGCTACTAGTTTTAATCTTTATTAAATAGATTTTTGTAGTTGAAATGCGTATTAAATTAAACCTTTGGCAACTGACACCGGACCGAAATCCAGCAGTTTATTGGCTTCATATAGACAGAACTTGCATTACATTAATAAAACAATTGAAAGAAAAAGTACGAAAAGTGTTAAAAGAATCTCGTGATATAGAATTATGCTTTGACAATGTACCATTTCTAGATGAAGATGATATCAATGCAATTAATGAAAACGAAGAAATAGCGTTAGTATACTTTTAAAAATAATAACCAATAAATATTAATTACTACTTAATTTTTTTTAGTGTTATACTGAAAAAAAAAAATATTTGTGATGACCCAAAGTATATCCAAACCGAAAAAAATACTATTGAGTTCGATACAGAATTTGATATGATTCCTGCTAATACCCATGGAGATTTGTCCCCATGTCGCAAAAAGATTAAGCTCAATAAAAAATTAAATTCAACTAAACAAATAACAAATTCTTTTGATAATGGAATATCATCCCCTTATTGTGAAGTGGATGATGAACCCAATAATGATAATGAAAATTCAACTTCTTCCGAACTCTTAAAAAAAATTCCAAAGAAAAGAATTCGCAAGAGGACACATAAAAAAAAAAAAAATAATGAACTTGTTGAAAACGAACCTGTTGAAAATGTAATTTATTCAATTTATAATATAACTTTTTTTTATACTTTTCTTATAAAAATACAAATAATTTTTCAGGATTATGTGGGTACTTTATCCGAGACTTCTATCATATCCTCAAAGGAAGCTAGTAAATTGCATAAGCGCTTTAAATTAGATAATGGAGAAAACAATCTACAAGAAGGTTGTTCTCCTTCCATAAATTCTGAAGAACTTCATGTAACTACAGAAGTTTTTCGCTGTGACTCTCCAACTTTAAATTCTAAAGAACAAACAAATATAAGCCTACCTGGTATGTTAAATTTATTTTAAATTATTTTACTTCAAATGTATTATTACTGCTTACCATTAAATTTCAGTCTGGAACTATGAAAAACCATTAAATATTAAATTCAATAAAGTTCCAGTATTTGTACGTGGTCAAACATGTACACCAAAGGCTTTTACAGAAAATAGTTCTTCTATTGAAAATGAAAACAATAAATCTAATGACAGCATTATAAGTGAAAATTGTGATATGTTAGTAGTAGATTGGAAGAACATGACTCAGATAAAAATAACAAATATTACGGAGTTACAAATTTATGATCTATTACAATTCAGAGCAAGTTTTTATTATTACATTTCATGAATAAATATACTTGATTACAACTTATAAGCTAAACAATTTTTTGTTTTATATATCATCACAGATTATGTCCATGAATGATTGTGGTGAACCCCAATTGTCATCTGTTATAACTGCACGTCTAGATCACATTTATAAATGTACATTACATATTCAAGTACTTTGTAAGTTTATAGTCATATTATTATTTGTTAAAATATATTATTTATTTATAATATATACCTAAATGTTTTGATCAAATTTTCAATTATAATTATATTATTAATCTGTATTAGCTGGAATAAAAGAATTTTTAACAATTAATCCAAAATTCAAAATGGATGATGAAGAAGATATTGGAACTCAGCGTGAAGTTGAATTTGATGATTTATTTGACATTTTTAAACTAGTCTAATCTGTATGCTTGTGTTATTTTTATATTGTCATTATTAACTTACAAGTTGTACACGTTTTATATAAATAAACAAACAATCTCTATTTTTGTATTATTATATTTTAATTTAAATACTTGTTCAATGATAAGTATACAAATTAATTAAAAAGAAAAAAATTAGATTTGTCTTATGTCAGAGCCTATTTTAGTGACTGATATGAAATATGTTATGTGTTGCACAAAATTAAAGTGTGTAATAACTAATATATATTATTGACATTATTTTAATTAATAACAAAATACCAATTTATGAAATTTCTTTTTATGGCTTTTTCAATAATTTATTATTGAATGGATTTAACAGCTTAAGAGGATGGTACAACCGTATGCGATGCGTTGTCTCCATCTTACATAAGCATATCACAGACAATTGTATGTTTTGAAATTTGAATAATTAGTGAAAAAAATTGTTTTGACCTATAATTTAAATCAAATTTAAAGCTAATTAATTTTAAAATGCTTATAAAAATCTAAAACTCAAATATAAAAAACTTATTAAATATGTATACACATACTTAGTAGAATGATGGTGGAAAAATTATAAAGAATACTTATTAGAACGTTTTCTTAGGAACATTAAATCATAATGTTGTAATACATGATAAATATACTTAGTGTTAATATGCTTAAAAAATTTATTGTGTTTAGAATTAGATAATTAATTTAAATGCAATTAATAAGTTTGTGTATTATTGAATGGTATGTTTTACTAGATAGTATATTATGTATAATATATTTTTTAATATCTGTTATACATTAAAGAAGTATTTTTCAATATTTTAATTAAAATATATAAAAACATGTGGTAGATTGCATATGATGTATCTGCCACATAAGACAAACTTATGTAATTATATTTAAAAATGTAAACAATGTTAAATACAAACAGGTTAAAATAATTATATATAAAAAGGTACTCTGCTATACAAATACAATCACAACAAAATAACTAAAATAGTTATCCTAGGTTTTTCATTATGTTATTTCGTCTAAATTTGAACTTAAAATTACTATAAAAATAAACTGTGTCCATGTATTTTTAGATTTTTTGGTTACAGAATTAACTACTTACGTGGAATCTTGTTTTAAATTTCCAATCCTTAGATATAAAGTTGAACATTTTAAAAATACTTAACTACAAAATTATTATTCAATTTTAAATTTCATACATTTTGTCAAAATTCGATCTTTAAATGCTTATAAAAAAAAATTGTTCCTATGTATTTTTAATATTTTTCAACTGATATTGTAACAATATATCAGAAGACTTGTATTACATTTTACACTTTTTGGCCCAACAGATAAAACTTAATTGATATTTATAGAAAAAAAACTAAAAAAAATTGAAAACTGAAAATGTCCGTAAACAGCTCAAAAAGCGTCAAAATATTTTCAAAATTGTATGGTGTAAAGGAATTGATAGTATAACATTCAGTGAAATTTTCATGTATCTACAGTTATTCATTTTTTAATTACAATTTACAACAAAATAAGGAAATCCCTACATAAGAAATCGAGTGAATATCCAGTGTTGTAAAAATTTGAATTTCAAACGGTCATAAAAATTTAATGACTTTCTTATAAACATTTTTTTTTTTTTTGATAAAGGTAGATAATCTTATAAGGAAGGAATCTTGTATTACATTTTAAAATCCCAGATTTAAAAAGAAAAATTTTTACGAATTCTTAACTCAAAATAATTTGCTAATTTTCGTGATTTTTCGATATTTTGTCAATTTTTGAACTTTAAATGCTTATAAAAAAAAACTGTGACCAACGATTTTTAATATTTTTCATCTGCTTTTGAAACAATATACTAGGAGCCTTCTATTAAATTTTCAAGTTTTTTTAACCAACAAATAAAATATTATTGATATTTCTAGAAAAAAAACTAAAAAAAAATTAAAAATGAAAATGTCCCTAAACAGTTCAAAATAAATCAAAATATTTTGAAAATGTTATCGTGTATAGAAAATGCAAATATAAACAACCAGTGAAAATTTCATGTATCTACGGTCATTTGTTTTAAAGTTACACCAAAAACCAAATTCAATTTTCTGAAAAATCGATTTTGCGTAAAAATTCCCGTTTTTCCTTAATTTTTCTTTTGTTTTTCTTGGCGCTTTTGAAAAGTACTGGGAATTTTAAATTTTGACCTCCCCAATGCACCAACGATATTCACTTTCCAATCGAACAAGATACTGAAGTCGAAAATCGAAGCATTATTTCGACTACTTATCGTGTAGTGTGTACCAGTGGCGCAACCAAATGGGGGGGGTCCCCGGGTCCAGACCCCCCCTTGAGTATTTATAAAATGGAACATTTTTTAATTAATTTGGGAATATAATAATATATTGTAAGTATAATAAATTTTGTTTGGCGTTATTGAGATTTTTCCTTAAGGCAACTGCTACATCCGGCGATGAAAGTTTTATATTAGCAAGAGAAAATTGTGGTAGAAATGCACAATACATAAGTTGGATTAGTTGGAAAATACAAAATGAAATTGTTAGCATTTGTTATGAAATTATTTCATCAAAAATTGTAAATAGAATTAATGAAAGTAATTTTTTTTCAATAATAGCGGACGAAACCGCTGATATATCGGGTACTGAACAGTTTGCTCTATGTGCCCGTTATTATGATAAGAAAAACAAAAATATTCGTGAAGATTTTTTAAAATTTATTCCAGTACATGATGTGAGTGGTAAAAGTTTAGCGAATCATATAATTACTGAATTAAAAAAATTGAATGTCGATGTAAACAATCTACGAGATCTTGTGAAATCAGAAATTTTACCATGGAATCGTTATCTAGATGATAGTAACATTAAAACAAAAAATGCCATCAACATATTGAATAATTGCAATTCAGATTTATTTCCAAATGTTTTTAAGCTTTTGCAAATACTGGTCACACTTCCTGTCGCATCTTGCGAAGCTGAAAGATCATTTTCTACACTCAAACGCATTAAAACTTACTTAAGAAACTCAACGTCCGAATCGAGATTGAATGGACTAGCTGCTCTCAATATTCACTATGATATTGATGTCAAGTCCGAAGAAGTAATACAGCGTTTATCGAATTTAAAGCGTCGTTTAGACTTTATTTTATAATTTTATTTGATATATTTTCATTATATTTTTTTTTATATATACATTTTATTATTAATATGGTAACACAAATAAAAAATACATTTATTATTAACACAATTATTTATGTTTATATCTGTTGTAATATAATTTTGGACCCCCTCCAAAGGATATTTCTGGTTGCGCTACTGGTGTGTACACAGACACAAAAAAAATAAAAAATAAAAAAATAAAAAAACACATATCATTGTAAAACCAATACATTCATCGTTCCACTCAGAATCTAAAAACGGTGGAGTTTACAAATTAAAGCCAGTGCAGACAGTGCAGTGCGGCATGCGCTGCGTTGATATCTTTCTCCGTGTGTGTGTTTATCGCGTGCGACCGCCTGTCGAGTGTGCAGTGGTTTGTTCTTTGATGTAATTGCCGATTCCCCACTCGACAACCAAACGTATTTTACACTGACCTACGGACCTACGGTGCTCAGACTAGACTGCTGCACACCAGTTGATGAGTATTTGTTGCATAACTCGATTACATTTTAGGAGTATAATAATAATTATCGTTTGTTTTTAAAATTTAATTTTTTTCATATAATAAATACAGTTTAATAGATATTGTATTAAAATTAATTTATTGTTATACATTATTATTATAAATTTTCATTATTATATCTAATTAATCTATGTGGTGTGCGCACACCTGAACACCTAGGCATGAGCCGCCACTGGGCCTAACTGTTTCTGATAGAAACCAAAGGGAAATATCATCTTCGGAGTCTCTCATTTTTAATTAGCTCTTGAACAAATGATAGATTAATGACAACTGTAATACAATATTTATTACAGGTCTCCACAGGATAATATGAGCGCGGTGGTCGCGGTCGTCCAGTGTAGGAGAATCATTTTTAATTATAGAGTAAATTGACCTATTATCAAACTTTTAAATAACAACATTATAATATGTCTTCCTATCGTTGGTTTTTACGATATTTTAATTTTTAAGTGAGTTATTAGTACTTCAAATATTAAATTTAATATATTTATTTAATTATATTTTAAATTTTTTTACCGTGTAGGAACTTACATATGTCCACATAGAAACTAACGTATGTAATTGTTTACCTGCTACTCTCGTGTAGGAACTTACTATTCCCCCTTGTCTAGTGGCTATGCCACTGGTTTTTTATATTAACTTCAGGGCCGCATTTAGGGGTGGGGGGGGGGGGTACAACTGCCCCGGGCGCCAGTATTTTAGAGGCGCCAAAATGTTGTGGTCAGAAATATGTTTACTTGTGAATTATTAAAATTTTATAATTTTAATTATTTTAATAACAGTATTATAGAATATAATTTAGTATAATAGTATTTTATATATAGTCTTATGCTGTTTAAAATTGTTTTAATTAATACTAATTTGCATAGTTTTATATAATTTTATTTTACTTATTCATGAAGTACCTACAACCTACTTAAATATGTTAAAAAAACAACTTATATGCATCTTTGCGGAGAGAGGATCAAGCAATTACTAAACAATATTTTTTTAAAATACACACATTGTAAAACAAATATTCTTTTCTGTGCTCAAAATCTAAAAGGTTTATGAGGATCTATCAACCATATTTTCCGTGGGTCGGCCCCTTAGGGGATTGATTTTTTTTTCACCGGGGCGCAAAATGTCTTAGTGCGGCACTGGTTGTAGGAGGTGGTAAAATGTATTAGTTAAGGATAATAAGTAATAAGGGATGAGGCATGCTTAGAGAATAACTCTGTGAACAAGTTATACGCCTTAGGGTATACCTTAATGTTATACCCCTTAGGGGGGAGCATTTTTTTTTGCACCGGGGCGCAAAATTTCTAAATGTGGCACTGGTTAACGTATATTTACGTAGAGCTATAATTAGTGTTTGAAAATTTCATGAAATATTTCAGTATTTTAATAAATTTATTTTTATTTTTAAATAAGTTTTATATTTACATAAAATTGTCATAAATCACCTTCATAATTGTATGGTACCTAAATGTATACCTAACCTTTGGTATTATACATATACAATATACATTTAAAATGGTATTCAACATTTTAAATATTTTAACGTTTAAATGATACAAGTAGGTATACAATATTATTCATGTATATTGTATACCTACTGAATTCTTACATTTTAATTTAGAAAACTGAACATTGTGTTAAAAAAATAAAAAAATAGTGTTTTTATTTGTGTTAAAAAAAATTTCAATGTTTCACGTTTTTGTGAAATATTTCATACTTCAAACACTACATATAATACAGACGCATGTCACACTTGCATTCGATTGTTCTATACCAAAACAACCTTTATTAAATGTCACGTATGGCGTATGCATTATGAAAAATGTTTATAAACTATGTAATAATACGTGCCCCCTCCTATGGGCCTATGGCGCTTTACCTATATCAATTTAATATCTTAAATCGTGGTGGGCATCTACGATGTGCGGCGAGCGGCGGGCCGCATGCCCAACCGTGTAAGAAACCATCAAACATGTTATGCGTTCTAAAAATAACTGATGACTTTTATTATTTGATATTTGACTTGATTTTAGTAAAAAAACTTTCTTTTTTTCAAGTGTAAGCAGTGCTTACTAACACTGCCTACATGTACCCTATACATGGATACACCCCTGTGCGTTCCACAGGTTGAGAAACTCTGACGTATACCATGAACCAGTTTTTTAGTTAGCTTTTTTCATGCGTATACTAAATAATAACGTTGGACTTTAAATTATGGACCAACGACACCAGCGTTATAATACATTTAACATTATATTATTATATCTTTTTTTTTCTATGTTAGGTAAATCATTAGATGGGACTATGAGAGCCGAACTGTTTTCATAATCCTTAGCTCCCATGCAGCATCGTTTATTTAATAAATAAATGTTTACAACTTTGTTTTTGGGCTCGCATGGGGCATGGTATACTTTCCTCAGCTAATGCTGGTGTGTATGTGTATATCATGGCCCCATGATGCCTCACATTATTTTTTAAACAACGGCCGAAGCCACACGGGGGTAAACGGGGCAGGCCCCGCTCTATCCCCTCACAAAAAAATATTTAAACATGTATCGCTGGCTGCAAAGATCTTCTCAGGCCGACCGAAGTCCGCCGTCCTGGAATACTCATTCTGGTAACCTTCTTTTCGTGAACCGGCCGGAGCCCGTGGTTCTCGATTCCCGTTCTGGGGTTCATCCGTTATCCCCTCAAGTGTCAGGATGTCTTCCACCATTTTATAAAAGAGCCTAGTCTCTTCAGCTTCGTTTAGGGCGGAGGTCTTCTCCTGGTGGTCCGCCGGGAGGTCTTCCAAGACCGGGCCGCACATGATGTCCGGGACATCAGCCGCATCTGGAGGTCGACCCAGGCGCTCCCGGAGTTCGGCTCGGCAGCCTTCCCAATTGGCACAATGGAAGATTGTGTGTCCCGCTGTGTCCGATCCGCATGGGCGATGGGCAGTACATGCAGCTTGGGCTTGGGGCCCTGCCCATGCGATCATATAACATATTATATCCAGTATCCACGACACCAGTACACTACAGCAGTGGTTTTCAACCTTTTTTGGGTCGCGACCCCCCCATTTTTATTTTTTTTTGTACTGCGACCCCCTTCAAAAAAAAATGTTGTTTTATTCATCAAAATTTGATTTAATAACTGAAAAAATATTTATTTGTTATACGATTTATATTTTTATTTGTATTTTTATGTTCAAGGAGAAATATTCGTATTTCATCTTTAAGCTCAACAATTCTTAATAATATTTTACCACGGGATAACCACCTAACTTCAGTATGAAGTACCTAGTAGTTTTGTATGATCAGATCCCATTTCATTACATAGTATCGTAAATAATCTAGAATTTAATGATTTTGATTTTATAAAGTTAATTACACGTATAGCATCTTGTAGTACCTACTTCGTTGACAAATGGTTCAAGTTTTTTAGATGCTAAAGCTTCCCTATGAATCATACAATGAGTAAATAGTCTATATAAAACAAAATTAAAAATTAACTTTATTTTATTTTTAAATAAAATGGAAAAATCATTTCATCTATTATTTTTGGCGACCCCCAGGTTGAAAACCACTGCACTACAGAACAACAGTCAACAATAATATCGTAATATTTATTATCACCAATGCTATCACGAATGTAGGAAATGCGATCACAGATTACAGAATTGATAATAATATTATCGTTATTACTTATTAGTTATTAACATATCGTTTGATTTATTGCCTTTTTACAAACATTTAGCACAAGTGCACAACTGGGCACATATTAATTTACCTATATATTGTCAATTGTTAATTGCCAATTGTCATAGACATACAAAATATAAGTATGATTAATATTACACTCATTGCAAATAACACAACAATGAATTACAAATTACGATAATTTAATATTTTAATGTAGGTATCAAATATTATATCATACGATAATAATATATTATGACGGGATGCCAGTTTTATTATAATAATAATAGTTCATAATTTATTATTATTCCGAACACGCGTATCAGTGACCATTTCCTTTACACACGTCTCGCCGGAAGACGGAAGATGACACAACTATGCGATCATCATTGACAGCCACCGGTACGCCACGTACGAATTTTTATTTCTATATCACCAACGTAATAATAACTAACTCGTGTGTTTATTAATTAATATAATATTTGTGTACCTGTTGCAGTGCTGGGTGACAGGAAGTGTCGGGGAAATATTGATTTCGAACAGTCGTTTTGTCCTCCGCCACAGCAACAGTTGTAGCATTACACGTCCAGCATGTCAAAAGACAGAATACTGATTTTGGGAGGTAATTTAAATTGTTTTGTTATTTTTTTCTTTTAAGTATTTTGTTAAATTTGTTTTTTGCACGGTTTCAGGCTGTGGCTTTATTGGTCGTCATCTGGTCAAGTATTTGGTGGACAACGATCTTGCATCGGCCGTAAGAGTAGTCGACAAAGTGCCACCCCAAATTGCTTGGCTCAACGAAGACCACAAGGCGGCGTTCGAATCTCCCATAGTAGAATTTCTCAGTGCCAATTTGATAAATCAAAGTAAACTTGTTATTTTCTATAGGTATTTACTTAGATAAAATAAAAAATATTAAATTAAATTTTTGACATTAATTTCGGCAGGTTCTTGCGAGAATGTTTTTGAAGGTATTTTTGATTATGCCATCAATTGTGCCGGAGAAACTCGTGTTGACTTACCAGACGCTATCTATGAAGAGGGAGTCTATAAACTTGGCATGAACTGTGCTCGTGCTGCTGCCAAGTTTGGTATTAAACGTTATGTCGAAGTGTCATCAGGTCAGTTGACTGCCAACCACAAAGGACCAATTAAAGAAGATGATAAAGTAATACCCCTCACATCCATTGCAAAGTACAAATATGAAGTAGAAAAACAAATGAAAACTATTCCGAATTTAAATTTTACGATTGTCCGGCCCGCTATTGTGTACGGCATAGGTGACAGAACTGGGCTCAGTATGTCTATGCCAATAGGATATTGAGTATAGATATTTAACCATAATTTGTATTGTAGCACCAACTATTGCGATTGGTTCTTTGTATCGTGGACTGGAAGAGCCTGTTCGAATACTCTGGAAAGGAAGTACGTCTTGTAATACAATACATGTTGAAGACATTTGTAGGGCTGTATGGCATTTGTTAAAATCACCAGACGCTGTAGGGGAAACTTATAATTTAGTGGACAGTGGTCAGACCACACAAGATATGATAGCTGAAATTGTGTCCTCATTGTTTGGAGTTAAACACGAGTTTCTGGGCTCGGTTCTATCATCTTTATGTAGAGTATGTTAAATTGTTAACTATTATTATTTTCATTTAAAAATACCATCATTAATATATAGATATTTTATTTCTGATTAATTATTTTAATGTTTTGTTTAAGAATGATCTTGATGTTATTGCTTCCGAAGCGAATGACAAACATTCAGTGCCGTGGGCCGAAGCATGTTCAAAGTCTGATGTTCATAACACTCCATTATCTCCATTTATTCATAAAGATCACTTGAACGGTTATCGTATTCGAATGGATGGCAGTAAATTTATGAATAATTCTGGTTTCACATTAAAACATCCAATGATCACAGTTGAACTACTGAAACAGGTTAGTACAAATTGTATATGCAAAGGATGAGTGTTAATTTTTAACGATGTTTGATTGCAGGTTGTCGATGACTACATTAAAATGAATCTTTTTCCTAAATCATTGCTAGATTAAACGTGTTGAAAGTTACCATTTCATTAAGCACAATTTATTGTAAACTTAATTTTGATATTTTCTGTGATATGTTATGAGTTATTACTTATTACCATTATTTAATATTTATTTATATTGATTTATTCAAATTTATGAAACAATTATTAATGTTTATCAAGTGAACTTTATTATATAATTGAGTTACTCATACTTATTTTTTGGGTATTAGGTATTTGTTTTCAATTCTATTCATACATTTATGCTGTGTTAAGTGGGCCAAAGATTAAAAAATAAATAAATACAAAACACTAGTACATTTTTTTATGTGTTCATTATTATGACTCATTCTACATTTATAAGATAGATGTTGAGTTTTTTTTAAGCTATTCGAAAGTACCAACGTGCACAATATTAAGCCACAATTACTGAATTTAGCAATTGAGTGCAAAACATCACTTAACAATTAAAGCTTTATTAATTCAGAACTATTCTAAAAAATATATCCCAAATCTGGTTTATTTATTACTGTTCTTTAATATTAATGTTTAAAATTTAAACACTTTAAATTTGAAACCTCTACTCAAAAACTTCATACATAATGTTTTTGACCATGAAAATGTTGATATCAAATTAAAGTAAAGTGCAAGTTGCAATATGCATATGGCATATGCACAGTAGGATCTAGAAATTATAAATAAGGAGTGCCAAGTGCAAGGAACGAGAAAATTGAATACTATCCTCTTAAGAGGATGTCAGCTCTATATTTGTTTTCTCTCTCAGACAAACGCGCAACATGACAAAACGTATTTAATTAATCAAATTAATCTTAAATAAATTCACCCATTAAAAAAAAGATAAAGAATAATATTTTTGAGGGTAGACATATCAATTTTATATTTTATAATTCATTGTTAATTGACTTTCAAAATAAACAAAAAAAAAAAGGAGGGCAAGTGGGTGTTGCTCCGCTACAGTAGGTTACTAGTGGGTCACCGTATAATGGAGGATATTAAATTTGAATTCAACGATATATTATCATTGTATAAGAAAAACGATTCTGAGCTGAGACGGTATGTCAGTCTAGGTATAAGACATTATATACATATCTATGGTATTAAACAAAAAATTGACCTATAATAGGTACCTATTATAAATTCCAAATTAATCATATCGCAATATCCATTAGGCACTTATAACGCGTTATACATCAACAAAAACCGTGATACTATCATAGTTATATAATAGTACACTTTAGAAGTTTCAAGTAAACACGAATAATATTATTCAATCACAACAAAATAACTAAAATAGTTATTCTAGGTTTTTTAATATGTAATTTCGTCCAAATTTGAATTTAAAATGTCTGTAAAAAATAAGTGTGTTCATATATTTTTTAGATTTTTTGGTTACAGTATGAACTATTTATGAGAACCTTTGTTTTAAATTTGCAATCCTTAGCTATAAAAACTGAACATTTTATAATTTATTAATCACAATGATTGATCATTTTCAAGATTTTGATAAATTTTGTCAAAATTCGATCTTTAAATGCTTATAAAAAAAAACTGTGCCTATGTATTTTTAATATTTTTCAACTGATATTGTAACAATATATCAGGAGCCTTGTATTAAATTTTTACACTTTTTGGCCCAACAGATAAAACTTAATTGATATTTATAGAAAAAAAAACTAAAAAAAAATTTAAAGCTGTAAATGTCCGTAAACAGCTCAAAAAGAGTCAAAATATTTTCAAAATTGTATAGTGTATAGGAAATGCTAATATAAACATTCAATAAAATTTTCATGTATCTACAGTTATTCGTTTTTGAATTACAACAAAATAAAGAAATCGCTATATGAGAAATTGAAAGAATATCCAATGTTGTAAAAATTTGAATTTCAAACGCTCATAAAAATTTAAATTTGACTTTCTTATAGCCATTTTTTTTTTTGATAAATTTAGATAATCTTATAAGGAATCTTGTATTACCTTTTCAAATCTTTGATTTAAAAAGAAAAATTTTTACGAATTCTTAACTCAAAATAATTTGCTAATTTTCGTGATTTTTCCATATTTTGTCAATTTTTGAACTTTAAATGCTTATAAAAAAAAATTGTAACTAAGGATTTTTAATATTTTTCATCTGCCTTTGAAACAATATACTAGGAGCCTTCTATTAAATTTTCAAGCTTTTTCAGCCAACAAATAAAATTTTATTGATCTTTAGAAAAAAAAACTAAAAATTAATGGAAATTGAAAATGTCCCTAAACAGTTCAAAATAAATCAAAATATTTTGAAAATGTCATCGTGTATAATATAAACAACCTGTGAAAATTTCATGTATATACGTTCATTTGTTTTAGAGTTACACCAAAAACCAAAATCGATTTTTTGGAAAACTTATTTTACGTAAATATTCCCGTTTTTCCTTAATTTTTATGTTGTTTTAACGGCGCTTGTGAAAACTACTAGGAAATTTTTACTTTTGATTAAGTACAAACTAGATTCACTTTTCTATCAGAAAAGCTACTGTTGAAGAAAATCCAAGCACTTTTACTGTCCTAAAACGTGATGACACACAAAAAAAAATACACATCATTGTAAAATGAATACATTCATCGGTTCACTCAGAATATAAAATGTTGTAAATTTAAATGATGTTTAAAGTTTTGTGACTATATTTAGACAAATCAACAGTAGTGAAAAATTAGTAATTGGTGAAGGGGGGCATGGGGGCTATGCCCACCCTATGAGTCTGCGTTGAGTAATTTTGCACTTGGAAAGCAGTTTATAAATGATTGGATTGAGCTCTTCTACTTAATAATTTCTAATTCGAGCTCTGCCTATAATCAAACTTAAAGGATGAGAGCATAATGTTTGTAATTGTAATTGCATTAAATGTATTTTAATTTTTTATTTCAATAATTTACTTTTAACAAACTAAAATTGAAATATCAACCAAGGACTAAAAAAAAAAAAAAATGGAAAATTTTCAGATAAAAGACCATTTTATTAACATATAATGTTGCCATATAAACGCAATACAAAAGAGCATAATATAATAATAATGGATTTATCGTTTTCTGTGAAGCTGCAAGGTATTCTTGCGCTTCCAACATGCCTTCCTTGATCCACCGATTGTCTGTGAGAAACCGTGACCTTTTCCAAGACCACGGGACTTGCGACCAGCGGATGTCTTTCCACGCAATTCTCTGTGCTTGTGAACAGCATTACAGATCCAATTGATCTTGGCATCTCTACGGATGGCCTAAAAAGAGAGAAAAATAGGAATTTCATTCAATAATATCCATTTTTAAAATAGATCAATGATTTAAGTTTTAATTAATAAGGAACTCACTGGGTGTGCGGTATCAACAGTGATAACTTCGTAGAATTTGAAAGTAGAGTCTTGTCCTACCCAGTAAGAGTTTAGGACACGGAGACCTCCACAACGACGTCCAACTCTTTCCTATATTACAGAATAAAAATAGTTTTATATTAAACTACAATTATCTGACAACTAATAAGGTACAATAAAAATAATTTATTATAAGAATACAAATAAAAATTTCCCTCTCTTTGGTGGTAATTTAAAAAGTACAATTCAGATAGCCAAGGGAACAAAATGTATTTTTGTCCACATTGAAATTATTCAGTGATTATAACAAAACACAATTTATCATCATCATTGTAACTTTTATATTTTACATCAAGATTGATAATATTTGAGTCTGACAATTTAAAATAGCTTAAAGTAAACATTTTTAAATCTAATAAAGTTCAGGAGGAACCTTGTGGCAGAAATATTTTTTGCCAGGTAATATATTTGTCTTCCTTTTTCCATCCCCTACCTATATCTATCTAAAAGCCAATCATGTAGAACGTCTACATTTTTTTTTTGTGTTATTTGAAAAGACAATCATTATTTGATATTTTTAGTTGGAATATTATGTAAGTTAGATTAACATAATCACCAAATAATAATGGTGCATCAACACTGAGTAGTGACTGAGGGGTACCATGATCAAACTTTTTGGATAATATTTACAAAAGGTATTGTTTTAGTTAAGACTAAATTTCAGATAGCCAAGGGAACAAGAATGTATTTTGTCCACATAATTTTTCAGTGATTTAATAACAAAACACAAAGTATCATCATAATTTTCTATTTATCATAAATTGAATGCATTTACATGTTAAGTTCAAAAAATATATAAGTATAATTTCTAAATTTCAGATAGCCAAGGGAACAAGTATGTATTTTTGTCCACATAATTATTATTTCAGTGATTTAATAACAAAACACAAAGTATCATCATAATTTTCTATTTATCATAAATCGAATGCATTTACATGTTAAGTTCAAAAAATATATAAGTATAATTTCTAAATTTCAGATAGCCAAGGGAACAAGTATGTATTTTTGTCCACATAATTATTATTTCAGTGATTTTATAACAAAACACAAAGTATCATCATAATTTTCTATTTATCATAAATTGAATGCATTTACATGTTAAGTTCAAAAAATATATAAGTATAATTTCTAAATTTCAGATAGCCAAGGGAACAAGTATGTATTTTTGTCCACATAATTTTTATTTCAGTGATTTAATAACAAAACACAAAGTATCATCATAATTTTCTATTTATCATAAATCGAATGCATTTAAGTGTTAAGTTCAACAAATATATAAGTATAATTTCTAAATATCAGATAGCCAAGGGAACAAAGTATGTATTTTTGTCCACATTATTATTCAGTGGTTATTAAACAAAACACAAAGTATCATCACAATTTACTTTTTATTTAATGGAAGACTGAACAAATACAATGGAAATTTCAGATAGCCAAGGGAACAAGTATGTATTTTTGTCCACATAATTTTTATTTCAGTGATTTATTAACAAAACACAAAGTATCATCACGATAATCACATATTATTTGCATATCATTGCCATTAAAATGTATAATAAATATTACAATAATATTATTATTACAAAATAAACCTATAAACTTGCAGAAATATTTTATAAGAATTTTTGTTCAAAAAAATTAGAGGTTACATGACAATTATACTTTGAATCCTCAGACATCCAAGGAAGATAAACCCTTCACAAAATGACATCAGCAGTTATACTCATTTATCATCACTGGATTAAAAAGGCAATATACCTACATTTAAACTTTTTAAAATATGTTGAAGAATTTTATCTTAGTGTTATGGTCCTATATACATCATATTGTATTAATTATTTAATATTTAGTTTTCAGACATCCAAGGAAGATTAACCCTTCACATTTTAATCAGTAGTTATTAACACATATTTGTCATCATGAAACTTTTATAAATCCAAAATAATGTGTATTGTCTAATACATAATTAAAATGTTTTATTACAACACACGCTGTGAATTAAAATTTATCAACTTATATGAATATCAGATATATGAAAATTATCCTCATCTAATGAAATAAGGAGTGGTGCATGGTACATAATCATCATAAAACCCCACATTTAACATTTTTTTTTATGAACAAACCACCATGTATATAATCAATCAGATATATGAAAATTATCCTCATCTATTGAAATAAGGAGTGGTGCATGGTACATAATCATCATAAAAACCACATTTAACATTTTTTTATAAACAAACCACAATGTATAGAATCAATCAGATATATGAAAATTATCCTCATCTAATGAAATAAGGAGTGGTGCATGGTACATAATCATCATAAAAACCACATTTAACAATTTTTTTTTTATAAACAAACTACCATGTATAGAATCAATCAGATTTATGAAAATTATCCTCATCTAATGAAATAAGGAGTGGTGCATGGTACATAATCATCATAAAACCCCACATTTAACATTTTTTTTTTATGAACAAACCACCATGTATATAATCAATCAGATATATGAAAATTATCCTCATCTATTGAAATAAGGAGTGGTGCATGGTACATAATCATCATAAAAACCACATTTAACATTTTTTTATAAACAAACCACAATGTATAGAATCAATCAGATATATGAAAATTATCCTCATCTAATGAAATAAGGAGTGGTGCATGGTACATAATCATCATAAAAACCACATTTAACAATTTTTTTTATAAACAAACTACCATGTATAGAATCAATCAGATTTATGAAAATTATCCTCATCTAATGAAATAAGGAGTGGTGCATGGTACATAATCATCATAAAACCCCACATTTAACATCATATACAATAATATTATAATTATTTAAACACCTTGTACAATTGTGGTTTAAAAATAAAAACTTCAATCAGATATATGTAAATTATCCTCATCTAATAAATAAGGAGTGGTGCATGGTACATAATCATCACATATAAGTTATTTAAATGTATTAGATATACAGTACTTAATCTATCAGACATCCAAGGAAGTTTAACCCCTCATAGACTATCAGCAGTTAGTAATGCATATTTTGTCATCATTAGATTTTAAGTATTTCAAAGTAAATTATCATAATAGGTTAATTAAATAAGGTATCAGAGTTAAGTTAATAATATCCGCATTTAATTAATAAGGAGTGGTGCATGGTTTATAATGCATAATATAGCTTAGTAATTAACCACATATGATGTAAAATAAATTATAAGTAAACAGATCCAATACGGCCTTTAATTTCAAATAGATTTAACAAAGCATCCTATTTATTATTAAAACATTAGATTTTTCATTAAAAAAAATTCAATAATAATAGCCAAAATCAAAAATTAATTATAATGCAGATATACCATAAAATAACCTAAAAATCACCAAATATTTTTATAGGTATGTCTATTTTTCTTAACAACTTTAAGTTTTAAAATAAAAATAATAATTATTAAACAAGTAATAGTATACTGGAATAAGAAAAAGAATCAAAATAGCAAGTAATGCAAACTTCAATATAATAAATTTTATGTTTTACGTAACATTTAGAAATGATACTCAGAATGTTACACAAAACATAATTATATAGTTTTACAGTCTTTTAATTGGTGAACTGTCCTATACTTGGAATAGGCATTATTTTTTTAACTTTTGTATTTAAAATACTCTTTATTAAAATACAAATTTACAGGAACATTGTATGAGGGTATGCTGTAGCTATTCTAAGGAGATGGTGGTTCACTCAACAGTTAACAATCAAGAAAACCATAAACCACCTGTGACCAAGACATACATTGGGGACATTGCACTACAGTCTTACTCTACTAGACAACCCAGACCCCACAATGAATATACAGTAAATTATAATTTTAAAAAGACATATAAATGTAAAACACATAAACTTAGTTAAAAGTGTACAATGCATATTTAAAATGAAAGAAAAATTACCTCAGCAATTGATTGCAGACAGCGTTTAGGTTTCAATTCATTTACTCCATGGCTTTTGGGTTTACCATAAGTAGCACCTTTAGGTACTGGACGCTTGCGGCCACCACGCCTGATACGCACTCTAAATATGGAGAATCCTGTTCAAATAAATAAGTAAAATGTGTGGTATTAGAAAACATTCAATAATCTTGGGCCTAAAGGTTAATAAAAAATATTACCTTGTTTAGCTTTGTATCCCAACCGTCTAGCTTTATCAGGTCTTGTGGGACGTGGCGCACGGTGTACGCGAGTCATCTGTCTATACTGCCAGACGCGAATACGCAACAAATAACGTAAAACATCGCTCTGCTTCTTCCGGTACACTTCTTGCACGTACTTATAACCACCCATCTTAGGAGACCGACCTAATCCTGTAAATGAATAACATAACCTCAAAAAATATTCGATCTTATTTTGGAAGGCAAGACTTTCTTCAAGTTTAGATAATTACAATAAACAACAGCTAAGAACTACAGAAAAAACTTAAAAGAACAGTTCTAAAAGTAGAATTAATTTAAAAGTTATAAACGTGAGGTTTTGGAAACCACACGTCGTAAAAACGTATAATTCTTAAAGAGTTACTTTTGGTATCTATTGAGACGGCAGTGAAACCAATAATAATTAACATGCAATTAATTAAAAACTGTTATAGAGAAATAAGATCAAAAGAATTAAAAAAAAATTACTTACCTAAATTGAGTAACCAAAACGTGTGCCGAAAATTAGTAGAAAAAGGAACAGGGTCTGTCCCGTTCCACAACAAGTAACAACACGAAATACGAATGAAGATTGAAGTGTGGACGCCGCAATGTTGCCAAAGTAAAATAAAATTTGTGGTTATGAAATATTATGTCAACAAAATAAATTTGATTAATTATAAAACCTTATTAAATTGAATTCATAATTTTCTTACTAATATATTAATTCAAAAATAATAAATTGAAGAATGATTAAAAATCTTTAATTATTGAAAAAAATTTTAATATATTTTGTGTAAAAAAAAAGACAACGTTGCATTTTAAATGTTTTGTGAGGTTATGTGCATACTTTTTGATAATGATAAATCAACAAAATAATAAATTTTACATTATCATTATAGAAACAACATTAAGATTAAATAAAAAGAATAGTAAATTCTTATTTATTAAACCACAGGGCACAGACGTTATTGGTTTTAAGAAAAACATTTTACTTTTAAAAAATAAAATTGAATTTCAATATTAGCAATCATGGCAATGTTATCTTTGTGTGGGTTATCCGATGATACTCTATTCAAAAGCAAATGCGAAGTTGAAGAAAATGAAGCATTCGAAACTTTCCAAAGTGACAATACTGTAAACCAAATGAACTTGTACTCACTTCCTGGAAACGTAAGTGTCAATCATAATCATTGTTATTTGGACAGAAATGAGACTTAAATTGACAAATTTCTATGTCTTATATATTACATAAGACTACCTATATGTATTTTATTACTTATTAATATATTGTGCATTTGTGCTTCGATAATAATACTTGATGTTTTTCATGGCACAAAGTGGCAAGTACACTAAATTATTTTCATTCAAATATAATTCATAAATGTCTAAATTACTAACCAAAATTAATTGTTTCCCTAAACACAAGGAAAAAACTACTAAACCAGTAGGCGAAAATGAAGAAATATATTGAATAACCATTTTCTTTTGTAAAAGGATAATGCTGGTTATTTAGATGTAGTTAAACACATAATAATCCGGATCTTATCCGGTATACGTATACCATTTCCTACTTAACAGGACACCGTTGTTTGGGGCGACGTTAGTGATGCCCATGTTGCCACACGCTCGCCGCGCTTGGACAAAAAAATTGAAAATATCCCTTGGACTGGCTATGCAACATCACTTCAAGTTGGTCACAGGGTACTTGCCATTTATCCACTCTTAATAAGTATTATACGTATACCACTATTTAAATTGAATAGTCATTATTAAGAATGGATATACAACGGTTACCCTGTGATCTACTTGAGGTAGTGTTTCATAGCAAGTCGATTTTTTCGTCCAAGCGCAGCCAGGGCCGCATTTAAGATTTAGCCGCCCCGTGCAATCAAATTCTGCCGCCCCCTCTCGTTTCAGTTTACATAAATACTAATAATTTTTGTTAAACAAATAACAAATTACATTTACAAACAGCTTACAGTTGTAGATAAATAAATTAGGAATTAAGAATTTACCAACTGAAAAAATAAAACCTATAATATATTTTTATTTTATTTTTTTAATCAGTATTTGTAGTATATAGTAATTATTAAAGTTAGGTCACTAAATAATTTTATAAATACGTTTAATTAATGGTCAAGTTCTGTGGACAATTTTTTATTAACATTTTTTTCTGCATTTTAATGTTGCAAATTCTGCGATTACACCATTGTAATCAATTTTCGATGTTAAATCCGCTTCTATGGTCATCATTGCCAAACTGTTGAGTATATTTTCTTTAGAACATGATCTTAAATACGATTTTACTCTCTTCAGAGCTGAGAATAACCTTTCCGTTGAAAAGTTGCTAATAGGTGTACATAGCAACATTCTCAAGGAAATATCAATATAAGGATAAATATTTACAACATTTTTTTGCCTTATAAATGCACACATATCTTGTATGGTATTTGGAGCATCACTGCCAATACTTTTTAAATGGCCTCTAAAATGTAGGCATTCATTTATAAAAGACGGTTCCAAATCATTGAGATATTCTTTTTGTAGTCTAGCAGCGTACATATAAACATCAGCAACTGACAAAGTAGTCAGTTTAAAAAAGAATTTAGATAAGAATACAAGTTAATATTTTTAATCTGTATTTATTTATGCTAAATGATGATTAGAATCTAAAGACGAAATTATTAATTACAATAATAACAAAAAAAAAAAAAAAAATGAAAGAAAAACGAAATATAAAACGAAATATAAAACTTGTCAGTTAAAATTAAAATACTCCTGGACAAATTACACATTGGCACTTTTCCAGAAGTCCACGACCGCCCCTTAAATCTGCCGCCCGGTGCAATCGCACCCATTGCACCCCCCTAAATGCGGCCCTGAGCGCAGCTCAGCAAACGTGTGTCAACACTCAACGCGGGCGTCACTGACATGGTATACATATAACAGAAACAATCCTGTTTTTATATGTTGACAAATAAATATATTTATAATTATTTATACCTAATGATCTTAGCTAATTTAAAAACATTGGAAGTCGGTAAAAGCCTATTATCTATTGAAACTATTTCAGTATTTTATATTTAATTATTTATATAAAAAAAAAAGTGTTACACCAATCTTGATAATTTATAAATTTAATATTGTTTATAATATCCTATGTATATAACTATATATCTAACCTTAAAATATAAATTAGAATCAAAATTGGGTACGTGAATATACTAGTGAAATTTAATTAATTAAATATTTTCTTTATTTTCTAGCCTGTTGAAAACATGCGAATGATAACTGCTCGTGACACGATGGGTCGTCCAATCGAGTTAAACTTTCATCATGGTACTACAACATTGGGATTTTTATACCAAGGAGGCATAGTGTTAGCAGTTGATTCTCGTGCTACTGGAGGACAGTACATTGGTTCTCAATGTATGAAGAAAATTGTCGAAATAAATGATTTTATGCTGGGTACATTAGCTGGTGGTGCAGCTGATTGTGTTTACTGGGATCGTGTTCTCTCAAAACAATGCAGACTACATGAGTTAAGGAACAAAGAACGCATTAGTGTTACAGCTGCTTCCAAAATTATGTCAAACATGATTTATTACTATAAAGGATATGGATTGTCTATTGGAATGATGTTAGCTGGATATGATAAAAATGTAATAATCTACTTTAATATTTACAAACATGTAGAACTAATTAAAACAACAACAAAAAACACTGTTTTAGGGTCCATCTTTATTTTACATTGACAATGATGGTTCCAGAACACCAGGGAAAGTGTTTTCGGTAGGTTCCGGATCAATATATGCATTTGGTGTTCTTGACTCTGGCTATAAATGGGATCTAACTGATGAAGAAGCTCAAAAACTTGGTCAAAGAGCTATCTTCCATGCAACTCATCGAGATGCTTACAGTGGTGGAATTGTTAGAGGTAATACATTTATATTTAGGTTATTTTTCTATTTTCAATTATTTGATTTTCTAACTAAATAATTTTAAAACAAATTCTAGTGTATCACATTACTAAAGATGGATGGAAACATATAAAGAATGAAGATTGTGATGAAATATATGATAGAGTAAAGAATGAAGCTAAATAATTAAATAGTTCTAAATGTTATAATTATAAGTACATAATTTTGTATGGTTTATAAGCATTCAAGTATAAAAAAATGAATTGTTTTATAAGTATTCTAATTTTTCAAAAATAAATTATCAATGAAGAATAATAATTACAATAAAAAAGAATTTTGCTTACAATATACTTCAACTGTATTATTATTCTATATTATATAATATTATAATTTGTATGTTTAAAATGACTATTTAAACATACCAATTATGGTATTATTAACTTATAATGTCTGATATCTGATTAGTCTATGTCTATAATACATATTTTAAAAATACTATTCCTCATCATTAAATTAGTTTTTATTTTTATATAATTCTATTTTGTAAATTCAATACTTAATATACAGCAAATTAAATAATTGAATTTAAACCAAATTTTATACATTTGTATTCTTAGATCTAGTTTTTGTAATTTAAAATTACTGAGTATAGGTTTGGTCAAACATTATTGAGTGTAAATATCTCAATGCTCCCCTAAAAATGTATGGCTGTATAGTAATTTTGTGTAAACCAACAAAAACACATTACCGGTATCTAACAGAATTTTCTCAAAGCTAATCTCAAAAACTAACTGGCTAATTTCAATAAATGTTATATCAATAGATTCCATTCCCTGAGACTGAGGGTATTTTAGATTCTAAGTGGAACGATGAATTTATTGATTTTACAATGATGTGTGTTTTTCTTTTTATTTGTGTCTGTGTAGATGATAAGTAGTCGAAATAATGCTTTGATTTTCAACTTCAGCATCTTGTTCAATTGGAAAGTGAATATTCTTGATGCATAAGGGAGGACATAATTTAAAATTACCAGTAAATTTCAAAATCGCCAAGAAAAATTAAGGAAAACGGGAATATTCACGCAAAATCGATTTTTTCACAAAATTGAATTTGGTTTAAGGTGTAACTTTAAAACCAATGACCGTAGATACATGAAATTTTCACTGGTTGTTTATATTTGTAGTTTCTATACACGGTAACATTTTCAAAATATTTTGATTTATTTTGAACTGTTTGGGGACATTTTCATTTTCCATTTTTTTTTAGTTTTTTTCTAAAAATATCAATAAAATTTAATTTGTTGGTTAAAAAAACTTGATATTACATCATTGAATTCAACTTTAATACCATCCATTATACGGTGACCCACTTGTAACCTACTGTACAGCAGAGCACCTTTTTATTATTAGAGTACTTTTTTGTTATTGCTGTATACAATTTGACACCATGTCACCGGGTAGTCACAATGGACTCTTTTATATTATATTTTTATTATTTATACTTCAAATATTGTAAAAAGTTACTTTTTTCCATAAAACATCACATATTAAAGAATAGACTTACCTACACGAGAGTTATTAAGGCTGGTTCTTACAATGTCCGGTTAAAGTTAACCGACACTTAACCGGCCGAATTCTGCCGGTAAAAATTTGTGTTATCAGTCGGTTAGCGTTAACCGACATTTTACCGGATATTGTAAGAACGGCCCTAAGTCTCCTTTATGAGATATTATTTCAAGGATACTTTCCATTTTGTATTAGTTTGTAAATTCTTAATTTACAAAAAGTTGTCATAGACTAATAATTTATTTATAGTTTCTAACATTACCTGTGTAGAATACTTTATTTGTTTATCATTCATCACTTTATAAAACTACAACTTTGAGTATTTATTGTATATTTATAATATAACTGTAGAGTATATATTTTGTATAATATAGTCCATTTAGTCCTTTTTTCATACTTAAATCAGCACTTGATTATGTCTAATTATTAAGGTGGGTAATATATAATAGTATTATGGACAGTTCTATGGTATTCGGACTGGCCTAGTATAGACGTGCAAATGTACGTTAGGCGCTTGACCGTATGGCCTTTCTGCTGGTCTCTATATAATAAAAATGTTTATAATTTACTTATATTTAAATGGATAATATTGTGCATGCAGAGGGTGTTATGGTTGTTTAACCCCCCCCCCCCCCAACATTGACATTTTTTCCCCTACTAAATGTACTGTTAAAAACTTGGTTAGGTTAGGTTAGAAAACTAAATAAGTTAAAATCTTATATTATCTGTTACCTAGCGTTAAAATAGTGATTAGTATTAGTAATGTTATATGTACAATTTATGAACAACTTTGAGACATATATCTTACGATAAAATTGCTAAAAAGTAAAAACTATAAGTCCATAATTGTAAAATTAGGTTGGTAAATAATTAAGGATGATTTTTTTACGTAATTTTACATGTCCCTAAATCCTACTTTTTCTTTTTGTTCTCTTATTGGATTACCTACCTTTAACTTTTCAAAAATCTAACTTTAGCCAAAATATATAAGGTAACGACTATGGGTTCAACTTAAAAAAACGTTGGTATAACTACCCAAAAATAAATGAAAAATGAGTAGCCCTTTAGTTCCTTTAAATCAAGCACTGCAAATATAATATGATCCCTATTTTCTGTATAAATGAGTAGGTATAATAATATTATATAATATAAAATATAATAGGTAAACTGCACTTAAATACTTTATTTAAATTTTAAAGTGATTAATATTCTGACTTCTGACTTCTGATAAATATAATAAATATGATTTATGGCAAATTATACTAGGTGGAGTAGGAATATGGTAAAGCAAATAGCGTTATAGCGATATAATAGATCGTCGTATTATTGTAAATTATTTAGTTATAGCAGGCGTGTTTCAGTTTTCAATAACCTAGCTAATAGCTATATATAGGTAGCCGGTAAGTACTATATTATTTGTTACTAACCTAACAAAGGGGCGTCGTTTCGAGGCCGGTATTATTATTATTACTAAGAATACCGCACTAAAAAATTTATAAACCGCGAAACAAAAAGAACAAAAGAAATGAGAGACGAGATTATAATATTCATTATGGGCGGCGACAGCGTGTAGGTACTAGGTAGGTATCTAATAATGTAATATTAATATTTAATAACAGAACTAACAACTATAGCTATTGTGTGTAAGGCGTATAACTTGTTCACAGAGTTATTCTCTAAGCATGCCTCATCCCTTATTAGTTATTACTTATTATCCTTAACTAATACATTTTACCACCTCCTACAACCAGTGCCGCACTTAGACATTTTGCGCCCCGGTGAAAAAATAATCACTCCCCCTAAGGGGCCTACCCACGGAAAATATTGGAGATAGATCCTCATTAACCTTTTAGATTTTGAGCACAGATAAGAATATTTGTTTTACAATGTGTGCTTTTTTCAAAAATATTGTTTAGTAATAATTGCTTGATTCTCTATCCGCAAAGATACTTTTGAATTTATGTCACTTAAACCTTGCTTATAATTCATCATATAAGTTGTTTTTTTTTAACATATTTAAGTAGGTTGTAGGTACTTCATGAATAAGTAAAATAAAATTATATAAAACTATGCAAATTAGTATTAATTAAAACAATTTTAAGCAGCATAAGACTACATATATAATACTATTATACTTAATTATATTATATAATACTATTATTAAAATAATTAAAATTATAAAATTTTAATAATTCACAAGTAAACAAATTTCTGACCACAACATTTTGAAGTTGTACCAACCCCCCCCCTAAATTCGGCCCTGCCTACAATTGACCTTCCTTGGTAGAATTTTAGGAGGCGATACATTTTTAAAATTTTTTTTTTTAATTTAATATTTAAATATAATATAAATCTTTTTTGGTTTGCACTTATGTGCCTGTTATAATGCATATTGCCGATTTGTAGGGGGAAATTAAAAATAAAGTATGCACGGTGAGATTGTAAGAAAGTAAACACATGTATGATTGAATGAATGGTACCATTATAATAGTAGGTAGGTACCTACTGAATAATGTACCTATATACTTAACCTATTACCTACATACGTAGCTATAACCTAAAAATTACCAAAATAGCCAATAGGTACGCTCTAAAGTCTGCTATGAAAAATTGAAAATTCTGTAATTAATTATTTTCTTTAAACAATGTTTTTATTTTTTATTTCTCTCGAAGCCATTGGCACGTATAGGTAAAGCTATTTACCTTAGTAATTAATTTTTTAATAGATCAGTCCATCAGTACAGTTGTACTATATATAGGTGCTTTTAAGTTTTAATAAAATATTTTTTTTTTTTTATAAGTAATATACAATCTGTACCAATACCTGACCTACGACCTACCTTTTTTTTTTTTTTTGTAAATCGCGGCGATACAACTATACAAGGGGGCACTTCATCCGGAGATAGTCCTTCCCCCTAACCTGCGACCTACCTACCTATAATAATAAATATTTTTCTAATTTGAAACTCCTAACTGCCTATGCCCTATATTGGCATAATATTGTCAGTTTATAGTTCATACATTTTTGGAAATTATCCTTGAATTATTTGTTTTCCTCGGGCGCGAAATTCTTTGGGGGCGCACATGCAGATATGCATTATGCGCTGGTGCCTGGTGGTTATCAATTATTTAGTTGACATATTATAGTTAAAATGTAATCAGTATAAATTAGCATGTGAAGCAATCAGTCCTAATAACTAAGTAGTTAAATTGACTTAAACAAGAACGCCTCACAGGTCTTGCTTTACTAAGTATTGAAGCTGAAAGAGCGCGGAAATTAAATGTTGATACTATAATCGACGTTATTTTTGCCAAAGAATAGGCCAGAAAAAAAATTTTAATTAGTTTGTTTTTTTTATTGTGATGACTTTTTTTTATTTACTGTTTTATTATTATTAACTAATATTTTGTAAATGTAATGTCCATTCTAGAGGATGAAAGAAAATAATTGTAATTTTATATAATTACCTGAGCAAAGTACTTCATAAATCGGTTAGGTATGTAGAAAAAGTACAAATGATATTGGTTTTGTGTACCTAATTTTAAAAATGGTCTGAACTTGCTACTTAATAAATATATCAATAAAAGCATCCGAGATGCCCTAGATAATAATCTTATTCT